TGATTTCCCTTGGATAGGAAAGACGAATTTCTCTCAGAATGAAAAATAATAGTTCCACTAACTTTCTTAGTTATATTCAACCTTAGGCTAGTTAAACATGGGAAAAATCCTCTTTAATTTTGCCAAAAATATTCATATTTCTCTTTTTAGGGATCATGGTAAAAGTTGAACACAGCCTGTACTTTAACGTCTAGAACTGCAGTTGTCAAAATGAAGCATGAGAAAGTGAACATCACGGCGTTTCATCCTTCGATCAAAGAGTGGTAGCATCTTTGAACAAGAATTCAATTTTGAAAGTATAGACATCTTTAACAGAAGAGAAATAGACTACAACAGAATTCTTAGGAGCTTGGCACTCAGTTTGGTTAGCAACCAAGCCGTGTATAAACTCACAACTAATCTATCAAACCAGTAAGGGAACTCAAATACAACTGCAGGTTCAGTGTACACTCAGGGGAACAATGGATTAAAAAAATCTGTGCAGTCAGTGATACAATACTCATTGAAAACTACCAGAAACTACTCAGAAGTCCTGACACCATTCGTATTCAAATCAGTGTTAACGATGTCGTCCGTAAAAACAACACAAGCTACACGATTAAACCACCCAGTTCAGAGAAAGTAACACACTCAGGATTATCCACCTTGTCAGCAAACATTCTCTATCATTTCAACGCTAAAAGAGGTGCTACTTGTTAATAACGCTTACTTGTTACAGTCCATTTTGAAGTTGCACATACTTCTATCTTGACTGTAAAATATATAACCGCTTCTTAGAAATGATCCTAAAGTATAATTAGCATTGCTGTAGCGCTTTGATGGATGGGTTGTGGTATATAAATTGGGCGGAAATATCATTCCTGAATGATTAGATGGAAATTACAAAAGTCATTCCTACTTAGACAGATCTTGGTCGTTTGTCGAGCTCTACTTTTTGTGATAAAGGTTTGGATTCGCATCGCAAACATTCCTAAAAGCAAATCAGTGTGAAATACTCATAAACAAAAACGAAGACAATTATGTTCCTATTGGTCGTCTTGGACTTTCAAATACTGCACGAAATGAATTAGGATGTTGACACAACCGATGAAGCTATGTTTTCCTTATATGTTACCTCATACCTCACCGGTGTACCACTCACTGAAACTGTTTGTTACATATGTGATTTCATCGAATCATGCAACAAAGAAGTAGGAATTTCAACAAACTACTTCAGAGAGCTATTTATGAGATGTAATTCTTATGTGCAATTTAGTTTCGTTGATGAGATATACCAACAAAATGATGGGATTGCAATAAGATCCTCACTAGGACCTCTAATGGTAGAATGCTTTATGTCAAAATTAGAAAATTCTAATCTCAGCCAAACTAATAATCATTTTGACACCTATAAAAGATATATTGATGATATATTCGTTATTTGTGGCTCAACCACCTATCTAGATGATATCCTACGGGAGTTTAACAATTGTAACTGAGAGTCAGAGTTGATAAGGGATTGGAATCAGCCATTCCTTTCCTTGGCCTGCTGATTACGAGAGGTAGCCATGGAATACTGAAAAGACCCATCTACAGGGAATCCATAGCTTACTAAATTCTATAGCTGGATGCCGGGAGACACTCGCGGAAATCAGCTTTCCTAGCCAATTCATCGATAAGAATATGAGAGAAAGTCATGCGAAACCAGTCATCAGCTCATTTTCTAAAAAGACTTCCTTCATGAATCTGGTATTTATAGGTGATGCAGCATCAGATATCCTGAAAAATCGTCTTTCCAGATCAATTAGTAGGACTTTTCTCAGCCAAACTTCACCTGATATTTACCAGTCGTTAATTATTATCCGTTTGTTTAAAAGACAATATCCCTCGACAGGCCACATCCATGGGTACCTACCGGTTCACCTGCTCCTGTGGAGCAAGGTTCATCGGCTGTAGTCAGAGATTGCTGTCAACATGTATACGAGAACATATTCCGGCCTGGTTTTAATAAGGGTGAAAAGAAATGAATCAGTAGTTCTATCCTTGAACACCTTGACTATCCATGAACTGAAGCCTGACCTTTATATGCAAAAGAAGTATATGCAGTCTTTGTCTCTACCTTGACCTTAATTTATTTAGTCTTGGCGTGCTTCATTCCCTTTTTGTTTTTCACTCCCTCCCCCTCCTTTTTTGTCAGATTACTCTTTGTACTCTTATATCGTCATTATCATTTTTATTTTAACATTTAATAGTTTCCGGCGTTATTTCATTTGATCTTCCTAATAGTCGCGACTTTTAGCAAAATATTTCCAATTTACGCCAATTAACTTATCTCACTCATTACCTAATCCTTTGATGATTTATTAATTCTACCACGTTTCCATCACCTTTTTAATCTGAATGCACCTTATAAACGATTTAAAAATCTCAAGTAACCCTTTTCATTATCATTCAACCTTGATGTCATCAACTAGCAACATTATAATTATAATCACCATTATTATTGCTTCAACTTCCCGTTATTTAAGTTAAATCTTCCTTATGGATTACAGTCTTTAAATATCATATCATATAAATATAATATATCATGTATAGCTTGAGAATAAATTCGTTGAAGGGAGTCCTCTTTGCTGAATATCCTGTTTTTAAATGAATTATGACCTTTAATTTTTCAGTTCAGTGATCTGATTACTTTTCCAGAATAAAATAGATTTCCATTAGCACTAAGAGAAGGATAGTGGCTTCTTAGCATCCTTAGACCGACAGGTAATATTCCTACCAAATACTCTGAGTTGCATGAGCTCACATATTTTCAATAAGGAAAAGCGAATATGCTTGAAATAATACATGGAGCCTAAAGTTACATTTTACATGGCCTATTTCATTTATGACTACCAATAATATTTGCATAGCCCATAACGCTTGAATCTGGTCTACTATGTTCCAACAGATAGATTTCACTGGAAAAAAGAATATTTTACTATAATGTTTCAGTCGAAAGAATGTTATACACATTAAATAACTGGGGACTAGAATTCAAAAACTAGCTATGTAAAATAAATCTATCTTTTTTTCCCTACATCCATGAGGCTATACATTTTTTTCGCTTCAATCAGTTTTTTAGAGCTGCAAAGGCCTAAGCACTTATGACAACGAATTAGGTTGTCTTGACGCCTGCAGGAAGCCTAAGTGATGGCTAGCTAAGTGTGAAAAAAGTGCAATGTACACTAGCAAACTTGTTTTTGTGTGCCTTACAAGAAACCAAAAAAACGGTTTAAAGAAGTATGGTAGGTTTTAGTTTTTACTAAAGTAATTTTGTTCCGTTGCCGTTTTCAATACTGATATCGTATCAGTTTCTTTGAACGAAACTAAAACTTATTTTTTCTGACATTACTTTGTAACATTACTCAAAGTTTCAGGTAAATCATTACAACTACATATAATTTCCAGCCTAATATTCTCGTCCATAAAAAAATCACTCTAGTTGAGTATGAAAGAATTGGGTGTATAAACCGATACAAAGTTTGCATAAACTGAATTAGCCCAACAGTCAGTTTATATGATATCAAGGAAGCTAAGAAGTAAAATACCGATAATATAACTGCAATATATAACAAGTGATACATAATGCACAGGGGGTGGCTCCCATGACACAGTGACATGGTGGATAACGCTTTTGCATTTGAAGCGATGGCTACTGCGTTCAGGTTTCAGTGGGAATAACATCACCCACTTAGGTCTAGGTACATCCGGCTGACCAGTTCAAACAGGAAGAAACGCGCACCCTGCATCCCACTATTAGTCACCAAGATGAACAAAATGGCACATCACTATAATTGACATACTTCAAACCTGTAAGTTGTATTAGTGTTTCAAATATTATTAAATAAGGATCTTATAGGTGCATTTACAGCAAGCTAGCATTGTTTCTGACTTATTCTCAGTCTAGTCATGTACTGTACAGTTAGGTGAACTTTTGCTGATGGCGAAAATTAACAGTTTTAGTGGTGTAATTTTCTCTATAGGCGATGGTTTTATCATGACAAACCGTTGAATAATCACCCGATAAAAGAATTCTCACAGTTTTGCAAAAGCCATAGAGGCAAGTAATCTTTGACTGAATAAATTTAATTTCAACAACTGATGATAAGAACACTAACCAACACGCTCATTATGTAATCTAAAAAAAATCTTGTGCGTGCAGTATATTATCCTAGTGAGATTTTCAACCTCTTTAAAAGCTATCTGATTAACTTCCTTTGATAACAGAATCAAATGTTTAACACCATTGCAGTATTATATGAGATAGAGTTTGCAGAACGTTGAAAAAGTAAGCACGGTTTGAGTATATATCGTATCACGCACTGAATACCAATTACTAGTGACCTATAAAAATAGTTAATTGTTCATAGGACAGTTGTGTATGAACAACACTGAAGGATCCGTTGTTGATTTGCAAAGGGTAACGATTGTGGTTAGCATCTTTATATGTAATCTAATGTCTTAGGCGAATGCATGCATAAAAATGTATCTTTTCATTTCTCTTAATTGGATCTAATCCCAGAGAAGGAGTATGGTTTGGCTAAAATTTTGGAGTTGATTTAGAAACTGAGTCTGGAAAACAATTTGCATCAAATTATTTACGTTACCCAAGAAATTGAATGAAATATGAATTATGGATCTTTAGAAAATTTAAACTAGTCGTGTTTAATTTAACAAAACTGTTCAAATTTTATTTCATATGAGAATGGGTTTTGCTTAAATTTACCAGTCAAGCTAGTTGCTACTGTCGTTAGAATAAGTAATATTGTTTCGCGAGACAGTATGTTTACAAAGAAACCATGAATTCGATAATCCAGTGTATGACAATTATCCAAAATAGCGAAGTTAACCAGACTGTTGCACCTTTTGAAGGTTGAAAGCATATTACCAAAGTCCATGACAGTGCAGAGTTGTTAGTCACTCGTATTTAAAAATGAGTATACATAGAAACTAATGAAATAACTTATTATAAAACTCACATTATTCAGTTCATCGTAAACCTGCAGAGTTTTATATGTACTCAATGATTTTCGATAATTTTTATTATCCTTAGAATTTACAGGCTTACATTCTGACCGACTGTCGTTCGTCTTTTCCTCGACGGTTCTTTCCTTTACACTGTTACGTTTGTTGACTTTTTTGTAAACTTCTTCGTTTCTGCTGAAGGTAGCAAGTCAGTGGAACTTAACGAATCCAATGACTCTAGAGATGATGTTTCTGGTGACATTGCTGACTGTAAGTTATAAATCCTGTTGGTATTCGTACCGGGATCTTTACGGTTTGATTTTTGTTTGAAACGTGTTGTGCGGAAAACTGGAGAATATTTAGGACTTAACAGATTATACACTAGATTTGTAGCTAAATGTACAGAACTGGAAGTTGTGCTTGTTCGTCTTACATTGTATTGTTTGTGCTAACACTGGGATCTATGTCAGCTTCACCTGAAATCTCATTACTTAGGCTTCTATAACCTCTTGAACGACGAGAGGTTTGTAGGATTTTCGGTGAGTTCATTGTTTAGCACAAAATGATTAATGTTCTTTAAACTGTGATCACTTCTGTATCGTATTCTGTGTAATCCGATCGAATAATAATGATAATTTCACTGCAGAATGTAAACAATAATTTACGCAGAATCCTTACTTCTGATTGGTCAATACGAAGGGCGAAATGATTGGTTGATTTTCACGCCTACTTAGTGATGTTTCATTGCTTTATTCATTATGGTACATTATGCTATCTACCGGCGGTGAATTTATAGCTCTTCACTGTGATTTATCAGAGAAGAAACAGGAAACAAAATTAATGAACCTGAAAAAGCGAATCGCTTTTTGATAGTATGAATTCAAATATTTTCGTAACGATAATTTTTCCGTGTCCACATTGGGTGTAAATTAATTGTAAAGCAATCAAAGTTGAGGTTAATGTAAATTCAGCAAACGCAGCGTTTAAAATTGGTTATTTTTTACGGTGCAAATAAATGTAAGAGAGAGCGCGGGAGAGTAACAGTTAATAAAATTTCCCTTTCATCTCCCATCTAGTGAGTTGATGAATAAGGTATGTGACTTTGATACTTTAGTTATTCGTCATGGAACATTGGTTACAGCTATGTCTACTTTTACTGCACTTTTTTAATACAGTTATAGAAGTCACATTATTTTAGGAAAAAACTAAAATTATATTTTAGATTCATATAACCTAAAATGTCTATGTTTGAAACATTTAAAATGAAACCACATTTACGTAGCACAATGTAGGTAGACAGCCCAACATTAGTTTCGGCCTAATACTCTGTCATTGTTCAACAACAACTTATTATTCAATGCTGTATAAAACCTTTTTGAAGAAACTGCGGACTGCTCATGTTAAAATGGTGTTTTTTGATCTCATTCAATGTAAGAACGCTTAACTGATCAACCAGACTACTCAATAAAGAGAGAACTAGAAGTTACGGCCACTGAAAAGAACTTCAAGTCATATTTCAAGAAACCTATGCTTCATATGAACAGAAAACTGCAATGATGTGTAATTGTAATAAATAAAAAACTTTTGAATTTGTTCACTTTCCCGCATAAAAAATATAAAACAGAAGTTGTGACCTCAACTTTAAACTTAGCAGAAGAGGTATCAAGAAGTCACAATCAAATACCTAAAATTGACCGAAATAAATCTTATATCAGATTTTTGGTCAGTGTTTCGAAAATTCCACAGGTGTCAGTCACCTTGTGACGATTCCGTCGAATAAATCAAATGTATCTGAAAAAATCTACAATCTCTTTCTCTGATGAAAAGACATTTCAAATTTATGGTATTAAGAAACTGGGTGATGATTATATGAGAAAAGAAAATCTGGACAGTGGCAGCAACCTCTCTCCGATAATAAGACCAATATGTTGTTGTACTCTGGACAAATGTCTATGTAACTGGTCAGGCTAAATACCATTCAATTACTTAAAGGTAAATAAATGAAAGTATTCTGAGAAGCCATTACGTTTATGTTCGAACAAAATAGACTGCTACTACACCGCAACAGACAACTGACTACATAGTCATCAATAACTATCATACGCTAACGAAGAAAGCGCAATGGAGAATGCAATACTTTAAAACACAAGTTAATTGAAGATTAATGATGAAACAACTATTTAAAAATGTATTTACACGAATATTAAATATAATATTTGGCACAGTAGTGAGCTAACCGTAATATCGTGTAGTACGTAGGATAAAAACTCCAGTAGTAATACGTCAGGACAACGAAGATGGGTAGTGACTAGCAGTGGAATCCAGGATGCGCATTTTGTCTTATTTAGGACTCGTCAGCTGAATGTACCTGCCTCCCAGTGGGTGATATTGTTTCCGTGATTCGGACCCAGGACCGATCACTTCAACGTTGGAGCATTATCCACTACATCACTGAGCCACGATAACCACTTCTTGTGCTCCAGGTATAGTTTTAGTGTTATTGCTTGCATTATACCATCGCTGATTGGACCGAATTGATCAGTCTCTATTGACATATGGGCTCCTATGCAAATGCCTCGACATACCTATGTTCTAGCTATGACAAAGATGGATAGTGGCTAGCAGTGGAGTCCGAGATGCGAATTTCGTCTTAACAACACTAAAACTGTACCCGCCGCACAAGAAGGGGGTATCGCGGCTCGGTGATCTAGTGGGTAACGCTCTGGCGTTTGAAGTGATCGGTCCTGAGTCCGAATCACGGAAACAATATCACTCACTGGGAGGCAGGTACATCCAGCTGACTAGTCCCAAATAAGACGAAATGCGCATCCTAGATTTTACTGCTAGTCACTTTCCATCTTTACTATAACTAGAACACAAGCATACCTATGCATCCGCATAGGAGCCTATGTCCCAATAGAGACCGGTCAGTCCGATCCAATCAACGACGGTATAATACAAACAATAACATATCTGAACAGTGTTGAGCATCTGTTTTCAGTCTATACATTAAACAGGAAATATCGACCAGTATTAAAATATCTGGAAATTTTGAAAAATATAATGTTTTAAGGAAAGGAAAATGATTTTGCTCCTCATTTGCTTTGCGATATTTATGTTTGGGTAACGAATGAGGAAATTTTCTTGAAAAATCTAACCAGTATCTTCATTTCGATGTTTTCGTTTGCAATGAGAAGATTGATGAAAAATTTATTCTAACAGGTTTTTCCGTTTAAGCAACATTTCTTAAGCATCGACTGCTCTTCCATAGTTCTAGAAAATTCAGGAATTCAAGGAAACTACAGTAAACGATTGTCATGAAAATCCAAGTAAACTAATATCCAATGTTACATCTTTATGCGAAAAGTCCAGTAGTTGTGAATACTTAAAAAGAATACAAATGAAAAAAAACACATTTTATCCTCCAACTGACCTACTGCTTGGTTAAATTCAATTATACTAGTTAAGAGAACCAAGTATTCAGTTCATTCACAGTCTGAATCTCGTCCTTAAATAGAAAATGAAGTAAATGCAGGCAAATTTCTCTGTAAAATTGGCATTCGCACTCCATTTAAAAAATGTGCTATAAATCAATAGTAAAACCACTGAAAATACCCATCAGGATATTTGAGAAAAGAGAATCTCAGCGAAGATTGCCTTTTAGGTGGTTTCATTCTTATAGCAGTACAGTCGCAATTTATACAGTTTTATTTAACTATATTGGATGGTTCAAAGAATTATTTAATTAAATCGTGGAACAAAGATCAAGTTGAATGAAAATCAAAATCTCACAAGTGTGATGGAAGGTGAAAATTAGTTACGAAAGAGCATAGGAGTCAACACAATTCACCGGATAGAATATAAAGCTGCATAATATGTAACAATAATTTTCAAGATAAAGCATGATCAAGGGTAGGATGGGAACAGAATGAAGACGACGTTGAGTTATTAAAATAAATCATAAAATACAACGAAATGGTGATTAAAAGAGAGAAAGATAAAGATAGATAGATTTCTGGAAATTTGCTATGTCCAACATATCAATAAAAGCCTAACAAGTTTCTTTTATACACGTAATTCCGGTTTCTGAGTGAGTATGAAGACAGTCGACAGTACGTAGAAGGCGGAAACGTATCATTTGTTAAAAGTTTCATTTCGACCTGTAGATGACTTTGAATGCTGAATTAGTTGTGATGTCGTGTCCAGTGCCAACAAGGTGTTCAATTTTTGACCTTCTGATAGATCCCTCGATTCCTCATTGAAACTAGCCAGGGTAATGCATTCTAACCCAATTGGAAAAATGTGTATCAAACGACCAGGAATGCGGGCTGTCCGCTTCCAGTATTAGTTCATTTGAACTTTTCAATAATTGCAACTGTTAACAAAACATTTTCAATTTATTCCAGTTAGCTTGTCTTTAATTATTGCTATTTGTTGGTATACTTGTAATTCTCCATTGTTATGTTGGATCGATATGTTCCACCTCCATTGACATATGGGCTTCCATGCGGATGCCTCGGTACTTTTGAAATATTGATTATGACAAGTTACTTGACTGTGGCTAGTAGAGTAATCCAAGACGCGCGTTTCACCTCATTTGGGACTCGTCAGCTGGGTGTACCTGCACCCCAGTGAGTGATATTATTCCTACCGAGACTCTAACCAGGCAACCAAAACTTCAAGTCCCAGAGCTCTATCCACTAAGCTACTGAGGCGGGACAACCACCTCTAGTAAAAGGGGTATTGGTTTTTAATATAAGTTAAATATGTAAGAATGTACGGCTTGAGGATTAATTCTTTAAAATGGGTCCTTTTCAGTGGATATCTTGTTTTTAATGTCACAATTGGAATAATGAACTTGTTAAAATTACTTGATAAAAGTATGCCTCATTCAAATTTTCACACTTCAGCAAGTTCAGAAAGAGGAGCATACTTACTATTATCCGACACTTGTCGTAACTACAGACCTGGAGGCCGCAGTCAACTCTGTCGATAAAGAAGCATTCCAGCAGTGTCTCACTGTGGAGCGAAAACCAGGTGGGTATATTTTGCAAATCAAAGCTTTCTACATGAACATACGCAGCTGTGCAAGGGCTGCTGTTAGACAAAGTGGCGACAAATAGTGACATCCACCGGCAGTTCCTCCTGTCACCATACCTGGTTAACTTTGTTATACATATGCCAACGGACAAGATAACTCTGGCTTTAGGGGAACTGACTTACTCTAGAGGAGGTATCTGGTTGACTTGGAATAAACAAAGGACTTTGTCCTGTTGGGTAAAAATGCTTCCATTTACCTCAGAATTCACATTAACCCTAAATAGTAGGTTGCTAATGAAAGCCCAGCTCAAATTCATAAGGCCCTTTGGCATCTGCTAACTCATATTATCTCTGATGCTAGCTGGTGAGATATCCAACCGCCTATCAGAGGAAAAGTGTATTATACTGTGGTCCACTCTGTTTTATCAGATGCTGCCGTTTGAGAATGATTATACGAAAATATTACAGCCGCTGGAGTACAGATGTTTTTGCAACATTGCTGACGTGTA